TATATATATATATTTATTTACTATATGGTCCAGATAGTTTAAATTTTAATATCAGCACTTCACTGGCTTATTTTTTTGTGCTTCTAATGTATTATACCTCAATTTGTCTCACATCTAGAAAACTCCAGCAGACTTGGTGGTTCTACAAGCTGCTGGATTCGGAGGTGGACTTTGTTCTCACAGAGCTTGTTCCCTTTGGCTTTGTTATGGTTCTTCTACAAATGGGTAGCTGTGATTTAACAGACCCCATGTTTAATTTAAAACTTTACAATAAATGAATGACTTGGACCTTTGGTCTGTCAGCCAGCCGAAGGTGATGTTCCCCACGATGTTGATGACTCCCAGGATGGACATGAGGAAGGCAGAGTTCTGGAGGCTGACACCAGTGCTCAGAGCGTACGGCACCAGATAGACGAAGGGCAGGCTGCAGCCGCTGGCCAGGAAGATGAAGGACACGGCCAGACCCAGGAAGTCTGGCTGTAACAGGAAGTGGTACTCCTTGACAGACAGGAAACAGGAACTAAGGCAACATGTTTGCTTCAGCTGGGGAACAGGGGTTTCATTAGGGAGGGGCAGCAAAGATGGCTCCTTGGTTCTGTCTTCAGAATCTTTGGTAAGCTTGATGGAAAGTTCAGCATCCTGCAATGAAGCATCCCCTGCATCAGAACAAATAGGTGTTGCTGAGGTTCAAAGATACCTTGCTCTGTAACAGGTCACAGCCAGAATACCTTCCATTTGGTTCTGATTTAGCTTCCAAGATGGGATTACTAATTGTGATGTTTGTGCTGTCTTAAGCCATATCTGTACAAAGATACGCACCTCGCTGTTTCTTAACACATGTCTCCGCCCCTCTGTCCTCCATCTCCTCCTCCTGCACTGTGATTGGTCGCAGCAGTGCGCCGCAGACACAGAGGTTGGCCACAAAGGCACTGAGAACAAGAAGGGCCCCCCTCCATGAGTACAGGTCAATAAGCAGCTGCACAGTTGGAGCCAGAACAAACGTTCCAATGCCGCTCCCTGACATGGCGATGCCGTATGCCAAAGCCTTCCTGCGCCGGAAGTAGCAGCTAACCAGGGTGATGGCTGGGGTGTAACAGAGGGCAAATCCTAGACCTGAGAACAGCAGAAGGGAAAAAAGCATCAACAGAAACCTCAAGACAGTGACCACAAGGGAAGGATGCTTCAACTGCAAGAATGTTTTCTAGGAACCAAGGTCTTTGGTAAGATTTTTTGTTACATCTTATGTTGGGTTGGGTTGTTGAACCAGTAGCCTGGTTCCTCTGTCCTGCAGCAACTGACAGAGAAATTAAAAACTTAAATTGATGACTTCTAGGAATTAGCTGTTGACGTTAAATTAACAAAGTTTTTGGTTCGATAACACACACAATCTCCAAAGAATGTGTTTCAGGAACAAATTTGAGGTTTGAACGAATCAAAGAGAGCTGATCTCTGTGTTTATAAATGTTTTTCAGCTAACTTTATTTAATAAAACATGTTCATGGTGGCACAGTTGGTAGAGCTGCTGTCTCTCAGCAAGCAAGTTGCTCCGGTTCAAATCCTGGTCTGGGGGCCTTTCTGGGTGGAGTTTGCATGTTCTCCATGCATGCGTGGGTTTTCCTCGGTTACTCCAGCCGGTTTCCTCCAACAGACCAAAAACATGAATGTTAGGCTGATTGGTAACTCTAAATTGTCCCTTGGTGAGAGTGAGTGAGGCAATGGTTGTTTGTCTCTATGTGTCTCTGTGATGGACTGGAGACCTGTCCAGGGTGTCCCCTGCCTCTCCCACATGACTGCTGGACATGGGCACAATGCCGCACAAGTGACCCCCGTGGCCCGAAAAGGAAGAAGTGGGTAAAGATAATGGATGGATGTATGTTGGGTATTTTCTCTGAGTTAGGAGTTATAAGCCTCAGGATGTAACAGCAACCAAAACGTCACAAGTTAAAAAATTTGTTGCTGTCAGTCTTTGTTTTAGTGACGGGAGCTTTGTCTCTCTGCTGCCAGTTTTCAGCTTCATGTTGAGTTATAGACCAAACTGAATGCTGAATTTGAAAAGTTAAAATAGCTTCTCCTATTAACCAATTGGAATTGAAGATTACAAGCTGCTTTTTTAGTTGTCCGCCTGATCAACAGCTGTAACTTTTCAATCTTAAAGAAGAGTGATACACTTGAGGGAAAGAAATCACTCTAATATACTCACACCTTTATGGAAAAGCAAAACAATGGGGCTGAAATTATCCTGAAGGTTTGATAAGGTTGAGTCAAGTCCTCTGGGCGAATTCTTCTGAGATGTTTATTTTCTAAACATGACATCTTTGTAGCTTTCAAACCGCAAAATGCAATATGGCAAAGACTGGTCCATCCCAAAGATCCATTTCCCCGGCACAAACAGAGTAATATTTGTGTGTGCTGTTCAGTGTCAGGGGGGCCGTGATCCATACCATACCATACCATACCATTTTATTTATAGAGCACTTAAAACAGTGACAAGGCTAACCAAAGTGCCGTACAAACAGAAAAACAGGCAACACACAAAGCAACATACAAAATTAAGTTAAATCAGAAATATAGACATAAAAACGTTGCAGGTAATAAATATGACGACTAACCTGTGTGAAGCATACAGGTTCAAAACACAGATCATCTGGTGTTGAAAGCTACGGAATAGTAGTGGTAGTAGTAGATCAGTCAAACATCAGGGAAATTAAACAGCCACTGGCCAAAAGGATGGACCAGCACAGAAGAGCAACACCATCATGCCAGGACTCTGTGGTCTATATTCATCTCCAGGCCATCAGCCACTCTTTCAGGGATGAAAATGTGCACATCCTTGATAGAGGAGAATGATGGTTTGAGAGAGGAAGCCATCTTTGTGAAGAAAACTTGTCCATCGTTAAACAGGGATGATGGCCTCTGTGTTCAACTGTTCTCCTCTTATAATATCCTGAAGCTTGCTCAATAATCCTCTGCTCACATGATCAGGTGAGCAGCTGGTTTTGGTTGACAGCAGCAAACTGGTTGATTCATTCTGAGAAGGCGTTATTTATAAGACTGAGCTGAATACAGCACCTCAGACTGAAGAAGTCTTTCGGATGAAAGACGATATGTTTCCACATTTTTTGTTGTTGTTTTGCTTTGGGTTTTTTTTTTTTAATGCCAGAGGACCAGATTTAACTTTTGTAGATTTTTCTACCTGGATTATTGAGCATGCATCAGGATGTTAGGCTGATGGTTCACCTTTTGCATGTGAACAACTAGTTCTGGATGTCACCAGCAAACTGGTTGATCCACTATGAGAAGGTGATGCGTTTGCTTGTAGTTTTTCGTTCAACCTTTATTTAGACAGGTTAATCCCATTGAGCCTCGAGGACTCATTTACAAGACAGACCTGATTTCAACAAAGAATGATGACAACAGTGGACAACAGCGACAACAATAGACAGTTATAAAAGAGACATACAATTTTTCTTTCTTATTTATTTTTTTGTTCCCAGACTGAAGAAAGTTCTTTTGGATAAAAAAAAATGTTTCAACAAAGAAGAATCTGCCCAGATAACCTGATTTAACCTTTTTAGATTTATCTACTGGATAATTGCCATGCACCAGGATGATCCTATAAATAAGTTTTAGGGAATGAAGGTTTGGATCTAAACCTGCTGAACATGAAAAACCAAAACATAATTATCGGTACGCCAAGGGCAAGAACACGTTGTTCCCTGGGTTTGGGCTGGAGTTTTAATCTGATAAATGCCTTGTGGTATGAGGCTGTGTCTAGGTAAAAGGCAGGGAAGGCAGGTGTCATCTACCGGTACATATAAACGAGATAATGTATTTCCAGGCAGGTGACTCTTAAACGGCTGAAATCCTGGCTGTTTCCAAATGTAAGTTAGTGTTTTTCATGGATCCAGCTAAAGAACTGGGAATAGACTGTTTCTATGACACTGACTAAAGATCACATTTAAAGTTGAGTGGTTATATGGTAAGCCATTTGTTTATATATTCAATGTCACTTTTATCAAACACCATTTTCACTCAGTACGTCATGACTATGCTGCACTAGTTGCACATTTGGGCTCAGTGGTTCAACATTTTATTGTCCACGAGATAATTTTAATAACAATAATTTTTAGATAAATGTTATTTCGATTACAGGTTAAAAAAACACTTTGTACAACTAGTTGGAAAAAAAACTGTTTAGCTACTTGAACAGCTCAGAAGTCCCATCTAGTCAGCTTTTTAACAGACTTTTGGATGACTGCACCATACTAGTAGATAAATATGTTGTACAAGTTAACAAGTAGGCATATAAAAAACTCTTACATTGGGACTATCCATCCGTCCATTATCTTTACCTGCTTCTTCCTTTTTGGGTCATGGGGTCACTGCTGCCCATGTCCAACAGTCGCTGTGCAAGAGATGGGGTACACCCTGGACAGGTTGCAAGTCCATCACAGGAACTCATAGAGACAATCGAGACAAACAACCATTCACTCTTTCACTCACACCTAGGGACAATTAAGAGTTACCAATCAGCCTAACAGGCATGTTTTTGGTATGTGGGAGGAAACCAGAGAAACCAGAAACCTGGAGAAAACCCACACATGCACAGAGAGAACATGCAAACTCCACCCATAATGGGCCCCTGGCTGGGATTTGATCCAGCAACCTTCTCGCTGAGAGGCGGCAGCTCTAACTGTGCCACCGTGCCATCCTACATTGGAACTAGTCAACACAAATTCTGCCTATTTGCTGACTGACACCTGTTAACTGTGTGCACCAGTCAACTACAAAGTAGTAAAGAATAAAATGCACACTGTTGGACAAGTTAAAGCTTATTTGACCTTACCAAGTAACTAGTAGTGCTAGAAATTTCACCAAAACAACTAATGCATTAATTTGACAACAGTAAAATGTTGCCTATTTTACTGTTAAAGACTTAAACACTCTCAAATAAACTTGCTAGTTTTTTTTTCCCTTGCTAACTAATGAAGATAAAAATGCAACCAGTACTGTATTTCTAAAATATTCACTAGTTGAGCCAGTCAGACAGAAAATGGTTCGCTGAGGATTTTTTTTTTTTACCCTGAATAGTTTAAAGTCATAAAAATTTCAAACCTAAAGAAGGTTTTGGATCAGACTGTGGACTACGAGAAGCTCCTGTTGGTCAGAAAACATTTTTCATTTGAAGTGACCCTTCAGAGTTCAGCTTCCTGTCCGAGGTCTGACCTGTTAGGATTCCCATGCTGAAGTAAAGCAGCTGTAGACTGGAAGAGAAGGAGCTGATCAGGAGACCACAGGAGGCCAGGACTCCTCCCAACATCACTGCCACCCTGCAGGACAGGCGGTTCCCCACCAGACTACCTACAGGAGCTGCACACAGAGACACACTTTCAGCCGGATTTCACAAAAACCGGTTGTTGAAGATGGGTTAGTACTGACCGCAGAGCATGGTGGTGCTGTCCACCAGACTGTGGATCCAGGCCGTGGATGAATAGTCTGCCCCAAAGTGGGCCTGAAACTCCACGAAGAAGATGGAAATGCACCTGCAGACACAGAGTAGGGTCAAGAATTCCCACGACTGTCCATATTCTTGGCAAAAACCAAACAGTTGATGGTGTATACACCATCAACTGTTTGGTTTTCTATAGAAAAACAGAGCAACTCAGCAACAGAAATCTGTCCAGATCGCAGATTATTTCTGATGAAAATAAAAGTTAAAAAACAAAACAACTGGACTTCTATTCTGTTGTTGAAGACTTGGCTTTTCCTATATGTGGAGATTTCTCAATTCCAAAACTGGAGAGTGTCATTTAAAAAAAATCCCATCATTTTATTTTATTTTATTAATTATTTATTGGTGATGAACTAAATTTTTGTTAACATATTGAAGGAATGTGATTTTTAAAAACTATTTCTGAGTATGATTTTCAACTTTGAAATAGTCTTTTAACAAACGTATTTCAATCAGATAAACACATTTTCATTTTGTTTAAATGTTTGCAGTTGTTTTATGTTAAACCTGTTGATGTTGGCTCTTTAAAGTTTATACATGAAACATTGTTATTTTTTAGCTTTATTATTTGTAGTTTTAGTTTTAACGGTGTTTTAAAGGTGCTGATTTGTGTAAATTTGATTAAAAACTAAAATTTTAGAGCCTAATAAGAGGCTCCTGAACACAACGTTTGTCTAATGTGTTCAGGTGTTGCTCATTGGATTTGGAAAATTAAAATTTTGTTTCACCCAGAGGTTAAGAAGTTTAAAAGATAAACTGAAAAAGTGGCATCTGTGAACAGATTTACCTCCAAATCAGATGAAAAAAAAATCTGGTTTATAGCAGTAATGCGTCACTTCTCCTGTTTTCAATAATGTCCAGAATGAATAAAATACAAACCTTTCCTTCCAGCTGTTTGCGTGCAGATGTATTTTGAGCATAAAAACAGCAAATGGAAAGAAAATTATTTTTCTTAAGGAAAGGAAGGAAGTTAGCTACACTTCCTTTATTATATAAATATTTCTGTAAAAGGGCAAGCAGTACTCCCAATAATAACACACAGGCTGTAATCTGAGGGGAGGTGCTAGTTTTGGTTGAATCTCCACTCTGGTACTGGGAGATTAACAAAGAAAAATATTAAATGTATATTATTTTAGGAACTCAGTTTACTTTAGAATTGAAAAGCTTTAAAACATCCATTAATAGTTCCATTCCGAGCTATAGATGACTGCATTGACTGGACTTCAGGAGCCACAGTGGACCAACACCAGCTGAGGACATGGCCCCAAAAACCATCACTGACTGTGGAAACTTCACTGGACTTTAAGCAACGTGGATTCTGGACCTCTCCACGTTTTGGCCAGACTCTGGGACTTTGATTTCCAAATGACATGCAAAATTTATCCTGATTTAAGATCAATAATCCAGGCAGAAAAATCCAACAAAGTTAAGGCAGGTCCTCTGGACGGTTTCGTTTTTGTTGAAATGTTTCTTCTTTGAATGAATTAAGTCCTTCCTCTCGTGTCAAACTTTTCAGCTCCTCCCCATTTCTATACATAGGACAATAAAATTGATCCTGCACCACAATAAACAATTTAATGTTTCTGTCTACACCTGACCTGTTCAGAACTTAATTGCTGGTATTTTTATGTTCTCTGTTGTTGTTTTTTGTTGTTGTTGTTGTTTTAATATATCTTGTGTAATTTCTTGTGTATATTTCTTTGTACTGAAACTCTGGCACAACAATTTCCTGCAGGATCGATAAAGTTATATCTTATCTTATCTTATCTTTCATCCAAAAGACTTCATCATTCTGAAGAGCCGAAACAAATTCAGACTTATAAACAGCACCTTCTCATAACCATCACCTGGTTGACCCATATGAGAAAGTGCTGATTAGTGTGTTACATCATGACTTTACAATATTGCACCTCTTCACAATATTTAAATTTTCTGAGACACTGAATTATTATAATTTTTTTATCTGTAAGGCATAATCATAAAAATTACAAGAAATTAAGGCTTGAAATATTTCACTCTGTGTAATGTGAGTTTTACTTTCTGAAATGATTGGCAAAAAATGTGAACTTTTTCACTGTGTTAATTTTTTTTAGATGCACCTGTACCTCACAGGACTCACAGTTATATAAATACCAGTATAAGTGTGTATTAAATGTGCACACCGGAGTGTGCGTCAGTTACCTGGTCACTGCACGCGTACAGACCAACACCATGAAGCAGCAACCAACGATCACCCAGCCCCACCCTCCATCTGGAGGCAACACCCTGACTCTCTGCTGCTTCCCAGCAGCCATGGCCTCGACGGATTCTCAGAGGTGGTCCTGTAATCCTGGTTCTGGCACAAGTCTGGAGAGGCCGTGGTCCTGGGTCTTTAGTGGCCCTAAAAAGCAAAGCATAAAAGTGTTCAGAGCAGCGTGTGTGTGTTGTGCTGCTGCAGGGAGTCTGACAGAGGTGGAGGAGAAAGGTGTGTGAAGCTCTTCAGCAGGTATCCAGGAGAACTCCTCCTACTGAAGTGGAGGTGTGATCTGCTGAGTATGAGGAGGAGGAGGAGAGGAACTGTAGAATGAGCTAGGTGAATTGCAGGACCAGCTTTTGAGGAGGCAAACAGTAGGAGGAGCTGATTTTAGAAAACTTGATCTTTGTGTAGATCTGATCAGTTCTTGGTCTGCCGGACTAGTTCTGTCTATGGTAAAATCAAGAACTCTCCAGCTGAATCAGACTGGGTCAGGAGGGACTGGTTAGTGACTAACCATTGTTGTGGAGGGACTAACCAGTCCCTCCACAACAATGTTCATGGCCCTGCACCCTCAGGAGCTTCACATTTTCACTTGACTTTAATCTAATGTTAGTTTTTATTAAACGCAGAGTGAAAAAAAAATATGCAACCCCTGGTTTGATCTCTTGCCTGTTTCTATGAACACAAATTCCTGTTACAAATATTTTGTGCTTGTAAATCAGACTGCATAATTGTGAATGAAACTTTGTAACCTTGTAAAAAAAAAAGTGCTTTTTTACAGGCACACATTCCTATCTACACATGAAGAAAGATTTGTATTTGCAACAAATAATTACACAAGTTACAAAATGTTTTGTGAATGTCTGTTTATAGATACAAAGCAAAAATAAAAATAAAAATACCCTTTGTGTAAGATGTGTGAGTTTCAACTTGCAAGTACAAATTATGATTGAATTTTTCTTCCTCTCAGCTGATTGGTCAATGTCATGTCAATCACAAATTTAACAATCCAATCAGAGAACAGATGGGTTTTCTGTCTGGGTGACACTTTACTGAGACGCAAGTCCTGGAGGATAGTGCACTTAGAAAATATGTTCACTATAGCCAAAGTGGTTCAACATATCAAAGTTCATGCTCAATCATCCAGGTACAAAATCCAATAATGGTCAGTCAGGTCCTTTGGCTGTGGCTGCCTGCCTGGGAAAAGTCAACGGGAGACAGGAAGACAGCTTCCAGAAACCATCTTATCACCAGCAAACTGGTTGGTCCATTAAAGGAGTGTACTACATGGTGAAGAAAAGAGTTCACTTGGGACTCTTCAGACTGATGAAGCCCTCCGGATAGAGGGCCAAACGTCTTTCCACAAAAAAAGAAACTGTCCAGATGACCTGACTGACCATTGTTGGGTTTTACCTGGATTATTGAGCATAAACTTTAGTGTTTTGAACCACTTTGGCATGACTATCTCAGAGGAATTGACGGGGGAGAAAGGGGGCCCCGGAGGCCATCTTAGTACCAGCAAACTTTTTTTTTCCACTATGGAGTATGCTGTTTGTGGGAATCAGTTTTGTTTCTCCAGATTAAAGAAGTCCTTTGGATGAAGGATGAAACATCTCAGTAAAAACAAAAAAAAGCAAGAAACCATCCAGATGACCTGACTGAACATTGTTGGATAATGATTCAACCATCCTGATATTGATTAACATTTTGGATAATCTGTAGTTAATTCTTACTACCTGTGACCTTGTAGAAGCACTCTGGCCAGGGAAGGTGATGAAGAGGTTTGTCAGTGTTAAATATACACATTGAATTGTGCGGCAAATAGTTCTTTTGTTAAGGTTTTTCACATTGCCCAATGAATATATGAACATGCCACTTGCAAAATAATGGAGGACAGACCATCTGTAGAAACATTAAAGTATGGCTCTGTGCTGTGCTTAGCCAGATCCTGGGACCCAGTAGTCAGCATAAGTAGCAGATGACATCAGATGAAAACCTGTAGCACTCCAAAAGATAATCAAGAATGGCCAATGCATACTACATGTCCTGAAACACATCTCTTCTGAATGCCCTTACTATCCCTGCTTCCCCATCTGCCACATTATTCAACAGCAGACAAGCCTTTGTGAAACAACACACACACACGCACACACACACACACACACACACACAAAATGTAAGGGAGTTGAAATAGCACAATATATTATCCTTATAACTGAATTGGAAACACCATTGTAATTAACATACCTATTTATAATCTAATCTGATCTACAGGTGATAAGCAGACTACTCAGTTAGCCCCTCACATCAATAAACAGCAGGGCAATATGCAATCTTAAAATGTTTATAATAATTAAGAATAGTTATATTTCTATTATCCATCCATCCATTTTCTTCCACTTATCCGGGGTCGGGTCACAGGGGTAGCAGCCTAAGTAGGAAGGCCCAGACTTCCCTCTCCCCAGCCACTTGGTCCAGCTCCTCCGGGGGAATACCGAAGCGTTCCCAGGCCAGCCGAGAAACATAGTTCCTCCAGCATGTCCTGGGTCTTCCTCAGGGCCTCCTCCCTGTGGGACGTGTCCGGAACACCTCACCAGGGAGGCGTCCAGGAGGCATCCTAAACAGCTGCCCGAGCCACCTCAACTGGCTCCTCTCGATGTGGAGAAGCAGCGGCTCTACTCCGAGTCCCTCCCGGATGATCGAGCTTCTCACCCTATCTCTAAGGGAGAGCCCAGACACCCTGCGGAGAAAACTCATTTTGGCTGCTTGTATCTGAGATCTCGTTCTTTTGGTCACAACCCAAAGCTCATGACCATAGATGAGGGTGGGAACGTAGATGGATCAGTAAATTGAGAGCTTCGCCTTTTGACTCAGCTCTTTCTTCACTACGACGGACCTGTACAGCGCCTGCTTCACTGCAGACGCTGCACCTATCCGCCTATCGATCTCACGTTCCATTTTTCCCTCATTCGTGAACAAGACCCAAAGATACTTGAACTCCTCCACTTGGGGCAGGACCTCCTCCCTGACCCGGAGAGGGCACTCTACCCTTTTCCGGCTCAAGACCATGACCTCGGAATTGGAGGAACTGATCTTCATCCCGGCTGTGTCGCACTCGGCTGCGAACCGCTCCATCGAAAGCTGTAGATCACGATCTGATGAAGCCAATAGGACCACATCATCTGCAAAAAGCAGAGATGCAATCCTAAGGCCACCAAAACGGATCCCCTCAACACCTTGGCTGCGCCTAGAAATTCTGTCTATAAATGTTATGAACAGAATCGGTGACAAAGGGCAACCTTGGCGAGTCCAATTCTCACCGGGAACAAGCCCGGCTTACTGCTGGCAATGCGGACCAGGCTCTGACACCGGTCATACAGGGACCTAACAGCCCGTATCAAAGGGCCCGGTACCCCATACTCACAGAGTACCCCCCACAGGGTTCCCCGAGGGACGTGGTTGAACGCCTTCTCCAAGTCCACAAAGCACATGTAGACCGGTTGGGCAAACTCCTACACACCCTCCAGGACCCTGCTGAGAGTGTAGAGCTGGTCCAGTGTTCCATGACCAGGACGAAAACCGCACTGCTCCTCCTGAAACTGAGGTTCGACTATCCGACAGACCCTCTTCTCCAGAACCCCCGAATAGACCTTACCAGGGAGGCTTAAGAGCGTGATCCCCCTGTAGTTGGAACACACTCTACGGTCCCTCTTTTAGAATAGGGGGACCACCTCCCCGATCTGCCAATCCAGAGGAACTTCCCCCGATGTCCATGCAATATTGCAGAGTCGCGTAAGCTAACACAACCCTACAACATCCAGAGCCTTAAGGAACTCCGGGCAAATCTCATCCACCCCTGGGGCCCTGCCACCGAGGAGCTTTTTAACCACCTCAGTGACCTAAAAAGCTCTAAGGGAGAGAGAGCCCAGACACCTATTCCAGGATTGAATTTAATTTTAAACAGTTATTTAATGTCAAAACTGTAGTTATAACTTGTAATATTTTAATGCAAAGTAATAAGAATGAGGCAAATGCATACATAAGAACACTGAATGATTGTATGAAACTTGCCGACTTCTGATTGGAGTGACCACTAACGGCTCAGAAAGAGCAGATTAATTATGTTTCACTTTTAGCCTGGTTGGGACCCGGTTAGTTGAGGATTATTCTTCATGGAAACATATGTGCCTCTTTTGTCCAACTGAATCAAAAATTAAATTCATCCAGGATAACTTGAAAATCCCTTGATCCTACTTTTGCGCAATGAGCATCTGGTCTCAGAAACAAACTGCATCTCATAAACAGGCATTCGTTGCTCCTGTGTTAGTTGCTGCCTTTAGGAAGCTAAGGCTGGGCTTTAGCACATCTTGCTCACCTGGCCTGCTATATGGTTCTTTTGAGCTCCTGTTCTGTAGCTGCCACTTTCTTAACAACTACTGATTATGGTGACATTGTTTATGTGAATGCTGTTGCCAGCTCCTTGCAGATGTCAGATGCTGTCTACCATGGTACGCTAAGGGTCATTGACAAGAACCTGGTATTGGATTCAGTAACTGCACCAGAAAAAAGGAATGGTTTATTATTAAAGCTGGATCTCTAGTGGAGGTCTGGGTCTGTGGGCCGCTCGGATCTGCATAGACACGAGTATTAATGATGAGGTTTAAACTATGAAGGTTCTTAAGAATAATTGAGGCAGTCACTAACCTTCACTGTCAGGCAGGGAGTTGAATCTGTGAGAAGGAGAAGGAGGATCCGATGACGTCAACAGTGGTGGTAAAGAGGAACCAGAGCAGCAGAACTGTGCAGATTAATGAGTTAGTTAGGGCAAGTCCAGAATTAAGGTCCTACACAAATGGTCAAAGTTTCTAATCCAAATCCTGAGGGCAAGGCGAGAGACGTAGATGAGGCATGGCAGAGCAGAGTTGTTACAGTGGTCAGAGATTGTGATCCAAATCAGGCAGGGAATGGGCAAGAAGAAGAGTCTCACGATACATTTTATTAAATTCAATGCACGACATTATTCAGTCCAGAAAAATGAAAGAATCCGTTTAATTGATG